TTTCAGTGCTCAAAACTCTTCATCTGCGCACAGAAAACCAGGTTTAACACGGTCACTGCTGCTCCTCTGTCTCCAGACTCAAACATCCACATCTCCTCAGATTCCTGCTGCATTTGTGCAGCACACGGAGCAGCAGAAAGCGTTTATCTGCAGCGCGCTGGAACGCCGGACAGCTTCAGACGTGTCGGGAATGTGTAGAAAAAGCCTTGCTCTCATTTCTCTTCTGAACGGCTTTCAGTGGATTACTACCCACCTGATGCCCCTGAGTAACTTCAGCTGAGATCTGAGCCTGCTGCACGTGCTTCTGACGATCTGAACGCCACAGGCCCTCAGGGAGCTCGGGTTCATCAGAGAAAACACCTTCACAGAAATAACACGCTCACACTGCACTGTAACGCTCAATAAAGCAAGCTATATTAGCATTTCTGTAAAGATGCATGACTTCACAAAGATAGAAAGCAGGCGTGAAAGGAGCCAGACAGAGACAGTGAATGAGAAACAGCTGCTGGAGCGAGATCAGATCCAGAAAACCAGCAGAGAACAAGAGCCGCTCTCTCTAGACCCCTAGGCTTACAAAACCACCGCCGTCAGAGAAGAACCATTTATATGAATGAAGCAATCTTTCAGGCTTGATGAATTGAATGAACTGTTTGCAACTTGATGCATTCAGATTTATATGTTCTCTAAATCATCTTAATAATTGTACTAAGTAACACTACTTTGTTTGGTAAGTCTGAATTGATTCATTCACTAAATGCAAATAGCCCCATTCAGCCAGTACATCTGTGTAAGAGAACAACAGATTCTTATGATTGTTTCGATAGCTGTACATATAGTAAAGGACACTTTATTTGTTACATGAACTGTGCTATCTTTTGTTTGTTTTAGAAACAGTTACAGTAGCCGCATAATTTATTCATGCTGCAATGCATGCTGGGAACTCTCAAAACGTTTCAGCAATATGAAATTCTTCGTTCAGACAGCTCTGTTTGACTAATTGGGACAACGTTTGAGTGAATTCAACTGGTCTGACATGAGTTTTAATGTTGTGTCAAAAAATATTTCAGACTCAAAAGGTTTCATAAACTGCAAAATATGTAGTTGCTGCTCCCATCCATCCCTGTCTGTC